TCCTACCTTGAAAACCTGAACCTTGAATTCTTGAAGACTAGAACCATTGATCATTATCGAGAGTTTTCTCAAGTGACTCCCGTCATTTGGGATGTAATTAACTATAGGGGCTTGCCTCTATAGGGAACTTGGAACCCAGGTAAAATAAACCCTATTTAATCTTTGTATTAAATAGGGGAATTTGTCGGTCATATATAAAAGGTTCGCAGACCAAACGGATGTCACAAATCTCTTAGTTTGCAGGATTGGGTCTATCGCTGAGGTCTACACTTATCTCTCGGGAAGGTGTAGTATTCGCGGTATCAGACACGATTATGCAAACTATCAGACTAATGAGATCCGTTTGGTCTCATTTTTCTAAAATTAAAACATACTACTTTTAAAACTCAAACTATATATCCTTTATATTTAAATTAAATCTCAAAAATTATTTTCATATATCATATTTTTCAAAATTAAATCTAATCAAAAAAAAAAAGTTGACCGACAACACCTTACCTATGCATAAAAAGGTACACTTCACATTTTAAAAGTTAACATAACGGTACACTTGATGTGATATGAAAGATTTGGGTGGTATAAGTGTAAAAACAAAATTTTAAGTGTTAGATTTGTAAATACAAGGGAATTGGGTGGTATGTATGCCAATAAGCCCCCTAATAAAAAATGGTTCATCGTAGCTAATACAAATGCTTGACCCAAAAAACACGGCCTTTACTAAGTTATTGAGAACCATCTATTTGTGAAAAAACTTAAATGTGTTACCATAACTTCCTTATGTAAAACAACATTAAATACCATCAAATGTTCTGTTTGGTTGTCAAATTATAGAAAAAATAAAGATTATGTTAAAGGATACATTTCTTATTGAAGATTTTTATTTTCTTGCGTAAATGGAGTTTTCTAGGGGTGTATTCTGCAAGGATATACTGATGGTAAATATGATATCCTTCATGAACAAAAAGTTATCTCTTGTAATTGCAACATAATAATTTTTTTCTTTTTCCAAAAGAATTACCGGAGGCTATTATACGAGCCTCTAGTCACCCATGTGTCTATGTGCCTAACTATTCGAGGATCGCTCTCACTACCGGCAAACTGGCCAGAAGGGGAATCGAACCCGTGACCTGAGGGACTTACGACCTTCAAAGAGGTTGCTCTACCAATAGGCCATGGCTGGCGGCACGTAATTGTACCATAATATATACTCTGAATCATCTAAAATATGTCATTTGCATATTTTTTCATGATTTTCTTTTATTTTCATTATTTAATACATAGAAAAACTACCGCAGTGAACATTGGAAGAACAAACATATGATAGATAAAAAATTTTCAAAAAAAATTGATGGAAAAACTTGATAGAGACGAAAAGGGGTAAGACTAACATCATAAAGTGGCAACCCATCCACAATGATCCAAGGCACGTATCTATGGGGGGGTTGAAGAGCATTGGTTTGTGCTGCAAACTGGAGTTCAACCTGCAAAAATATTGAAGCTAATAATTTCATATAAAATAAAACACATTTTGAAAATTTCCTAATGATATCATTGTATAAAAAGAATGTTTATTAATCTTTCTCCTTAACTAAGGGTTTAACCAAAGTTTATTACTTTTGATTCGAACTAAGCCTTTTCATTGAAAAGAAATAAATAGATTTACAATCCAACAGTAAAATGCAAGCTGAAACCCCATCGACCCCAGCCTCAATTAATTCATAATCCTAATAAAATACTCAAATCAGATTATTTTAAATTAAACAACCACTTAACTTTATCCTCCTCAAACAAAATGGCGCAATAGAAAACTAAAGTTTAAAGTTGCATTTACCTTGAAAAAATTAAGATGTATGATCTTGCTCAGACAATTAGTTATATCTAAAGTTTAAGCTAGTCTCGTTGTTCGGATCAGGATGTCGCACCGAATGTTATAATCGAGATACTTGGTTGTTGTCTGCTCGTGTCTGATCGGTCCACTAGAGCGTCTCTCGCACTTACCGTGCTCGGCCTCGCTACGGGCCGCATCCTACTTTGCTTCACAAAGCTTCGACACTCACTCCTCTGTGTCCTGCTCGAGATCGGCATGAGCCCCCCCTGCTCAGGTTAGGCTTAAGCCCATCTCTCGAGATCAAATGTGATTGTGATCTAGCTCCTTCCTCAGCTCTCAACCTTGCTCTTTCACTCCCACTCTTACTCTGTTATGAATTCAAGCAGGAACACTCTCTCTTACACTTCAGTCCCTTCCTCTCTACTTATAGCACAAGCCCACCTGCTTCGTCTCCTCCTCTGAATGCCTCACTACATATTTCTTTTTCTTCTCCTTCATCCCCCTCACTTCCTCTTATTTCTTTCGTTGAAGAGATTAAATCACTCGGTTCGCATTAAAATGAGGCATTACAAAGGGCCACACATTTGAGCATAAGATGATTATGTTGATATCTCAGCTGGATGCAGCTTAAACAACTTTGTGACTTGTGAATAAAATTTATTTATTTTTGGCAATGCCCAAAGGCTCAAAATTGGCTCTTTGTGGGTTTCTAGTTTGGATGGTTATCTGAAGCACATGTCGTAATGATCATCAACCAAATGAAACAAGACACATAAAATATTTGATGTGACTTAATTTAATCAAGAGTTCAAAAGCAATATATATGAAGAAATTAAAGTAAAGAAGAGACATAAAAAGAAGAGATATTGATCATGGTTATTGATTTGGTGATGAGCCATACATAGAATTATTTTGTCATCAATGTCTAAACATATAAAGTAAAGGCCATCCATTGATCTAATGTCTTCTACATTGTAGATTATATTTAAATTTTGGAAAATTTAAATACCTACTATTAAATTCCTATCTATTTACATATCTAACACTAAAATTTCAATTTTTACATTGTTGAGAAACAAAAGAGAGCTACATAATGCAACATGAAAAGTGAATCTCCTATTTCCTTAGAGAGGAAAAAATGCCACTTCAATAAGAACCAACAATTTTCGAAAATAAATAAATAAATAACCAACCTCTTGCCCGTGTCCACTGTTGTAGCAGTTCACCAAAGGATGTGGATCCAATCCAGTCCTTTGAAAACAAGATTCCCAATCACTGTATTTATTCGCGATAACCAAATTCTCAACACAATATATAAAACTAAAATGCTTTTGCTGCATCAAATTCAGAGGAATAAGATATAAGAATTAGAACCCTAATCAAAACCAAAAAGAAATAAACAGAAGGGAGATCCACGTACATACCACCCAATTCCTATCTATTTACACTACATACCTAACACCTAAGGTTTCTTTTTTTACATTTATAACGCCCAAATCTTTCACATCACATCAAAAATACCAGCATTCTAGCGTTTAAAATTTGAAATACATCTTTTTCATGCATAGGCAAGATGGCATGCATGTAAAAATTGAAGTTTGGATGTCAGATATGTAAATACATAGGAACTGAAGTACAGGTTTCACATTCACCATATATAACCTTCATACCATAAATCAGTTCTGGAAATAGGCAATTACAGCACAGTAAGATGATGCATTACCACATCCGACCAGGAATTAATGGCGCAAGCTTCGACAGTGTTCAGAAAGCATTCAGACGGCCCATGCTGCAAAGCGAAGGAAAAATAATGTCGGCATAAATAAAGCCCTGGATGCTATTTTCCAGTTCATTCCCTCAGTTTCTCTCCATCAACTTTCAAATTATAGAGAATTTCTAGGAGATCTAGCGCGTACCTGGCATATGATGGTGGAATTGGGTCCAATCACAGCGTTCCCGTAGGGAACAAGGCGGAGATCGACAATGGAGATGAGGCCGTCGGAGAAGATCTTGGATAGGGAGAGGACGATGAAGCGGGAGCAGAAGGGACAGAGGGCCTCGTAGTAGAGAGCGAGGGAGACTTTCTGAGTCGCAGAAGTGGTGGAAAGCGGGAGAAAGAAGGCGGAGGCGAAGAAGAGGAGGAGTAGGGTTCGATGAACGGGAGCCATTTTTGGAACAGAAGTATCAAAGCTTGCGCTTTGGTGCGGCTAAGAGCTCGCTCTGGAGTGAGCTTAGAAGCAGCAGAGCTTAGAAGCAGGGAAAAAAATTGGGTACATTAATATTCATCTTATTATCTCCTGTAATCTTTCTGTAATTTAATTATATATAAAAATAGAAATGCACAATTTACTATAAGGTACAAGTATGTTACATGAAGGTTACAGGAGTTATGACATGATTATAAGCTACAAATATCCTTCATGTAACCTATTTTGCTCGCTCTGGAGTGAGCTTAGAAGCAGCAGAGCTTGGAAGCAGGGAAAAAAATTGGGTACATTAATATTCACATTATATCTCCTGTAATTTTTTTTGTAATTTAATTATATATAAAAATAAAAATGCACAATTTACTATAAAGTACAAGTATGTTACATGAAGGTTACAGGAGCTATGACATGATTATAAGCTACAAATATCCTTCTTGTAACATATTTTCAGGTTACAGAGTTACAGACGTACATAGCTCTGTGTACGTCTTATGTACACAATTTTTTTCCTTAGAAGCAGAGCATTAAAAAGAAGAAAAAGTCTTTAATAAAAGCGAAATTATGCGACAGAAAATAAATAAATATATAAAATTAAAATAATAATAGTTTTTATGTGACCTGAAATAATTAAGTAATATAAATATAAAAATTAAAAATTTTAAAATTCCATATATAAATATAGAACTGAGCATAATGTATGTAAATTGTGCATTTGCCCTATTCATATCACTAGATCTTTTTCACATTAAAATAAAATATCACAATAAGTTTGTATGCATGACAACTTTATATCATGCATAGAGATTTCATATATATACAATAGTGTGCATTGGACAAACACACTATAGAAAGTATAAATGATACATCAAACAGATGAAGAGCATTACGGACAAACACATTGTCACGAGCACAAAAGCTAGGGCAAGTTAACGCAACAACAAAAAACTAATTTACATCAATATCTTCCTATGTGATATTCAAGGATGAGTTTCTATGTGTAATTTTCTCTTTCTCCCCTTTCCAAATAAGAAGGGGGATCTTCAGACACCTGATTGAGAGATAAATCATCAATGTCAACTTTGTTCCAATGCCACATCATATGAACCCCTTTCTAAAAGTCTCGATGAAGCGCTCTGTGGGGAGATTTCAGCTATGTATTCGGGCCCCTCTCCTCTTCTCATTTCGAGTGCCATCTTCATCATTGAATTGAGGGTATAAGTCCCACATTTACCTTTTCCACCCCTTAGAGAGTGATAAGAAATTAGAGGTCTCTTTCCTCTGGCCTTAGGGCTATCAAGGTTCTCCTAGACACAATTCATAGATTTGCTGACAAGAGCTTCTTGCTCACAATCTGGTAGACTTAGGGTCTTCATAGTTTGGGATGACAAATCCTTGATATGTAGATGTGACTATCTCTACCTACTTAAGGATTCCCTCCTTTCCGTTGACACTTCTTTTGAGCTCTTTTGATATATTTGAAATTTGTCGATAACATCTCATAGGGCTCGCATGTTTGAGTGTTGTCGCCCGTAGTGGATACGATGATTCACCCCGCTGCCTTATAGCCCGTTACATGCATCAAAAGCATCGGGATTCTCCCACTCGAGATGATTAAAATCCTTTAGTTTCATAAATAATCGAATAAAAAATAATGTAAGCAAGACTCTTATTCTCTAGGGTATTATTGGGCATCCCCTAAGATGTGATTAGCCAAAGGGAGATGTTCCTTTGGAAGCTACTCTCGACCAAGAACAAGCACAAAAACCTGGTTATTGTTATAGGTTGCTTTCATAGAGTTTTATTCGCAGATATGTTACTATGACATGTTTTATCCGATCTTGTTTCAAACGTAAGCTCTTTAACTATCACGTGAATGTTACCTTATGAAACTTCTCATAACTCTTTTTAAATTGTTTGTCTATTTTTGACGTAGTATCTTTCTTTCTGGTTCCTCTCAAAAGAGAGACTTATTTGAAAAAAGAATCATACACCGATATTAAGACAAACTGGTGACTTCAAAGGCTCAACAAAAAGAACGGAAACAGAAACTTCAATGCTAGATATGTAAATACATAAAAATGGTGTGGCATGCATGTAAATGTCATCCGGCAAGGCAAACACTCAAATTCAATGCTTTTAGATTCTTCATTTTATTTCCGACAAATGTGCTACGCATTTGAGCACATCATATCAACTTTTAACTTAATCAAATACCCTTATTTATTATTCTTTCTGAAAAATTTACATACATACCACTTATTGTATCTGTATATCTAACACCTAAACTTCAATTTTTTCATATACATCGCGTCACTTATGTATGAAAAGATGTATTTAACTTTTTAAATGTTAAAATAGTGATGTTTTTTTTTTTATGTGAGAGAAAATTTTGATGGTATAAATGTAAAACAGTAAAGTTTAGGTGTTGGATTTGTAAATACATACAACTTCGGTGGTATGTGTGTCAATTCCCCATTTTTTATTATTTTCATGTATTGATAATATATTGAACTTTATAATCATTGATCATAACCTTAAATCACCTCAAAATATATGAATTGGGAGAAACATTGAGCTGCGTGCGTCGAGAGGTTATTCAGTGGGTATAAGGGGGTTATATTCGTGTTATACCCCTGTAACCTAGCTGTAACATACTTGTAATCAAAATATATGAATTGGGAGAAACATTGAGCTGCGTACGTCGAGAGGTTATTCAGTGGGTATAAGGGGGGTTATATTCGTGTTATACCCCCTATAATATAGCTGTAACATACTTGTAATCTACAAATAAATTTCGTGCTTCTGTAGTTCCGGTAGATACATGTAAGTTACAAGGGAGGTTACATGGGCTATAACGCGAATGTAACCCCCCTGTACCTTCTGACATACGCAGTGCTGCGTACGTCTTACGTACTCAAATATTTTCCAATTATGTGAAGTGTGGGGGTTACTTGGGCCAAGTAAATTTACATGTTGGGTTTAATTGCAATTTTTTAGTTCCCGGAACATTACTATTTACAAATTTGGCATCCTCTTTAATCCAATTATCAAATTCTTACAGAAATATATCAAAATTTACCATAATTTCTCGGCTCATATTTTTCATATTTATCAATTTAGCAATAATTTGATTGCAACATGCATAAATAAATTAATTCAATAATTTAAAAAAAAATTAAGTGATGTGCGTGTTATTATATCAATATTTGAACTGGTCATTTTGATTTAGGTCAAATTTTTTAAAGAAGCACATTTTTTTAATAGTTCATAGGGAATGATGCAATTGAAGAGCGTGATGTAGAAGAAAAATGTCGAGAACATCAGTTGCGACATTGACCACTGCGACCATCATCTCAATATACATTAGTTGTCTTAATTTTTTCATGCATTATGTTTCTTTTAAAAAAAACATTAGTCTATTTCATTATATCATGGAAAATGGTACATACCACCAATTCATATATATATTTACATATCTAACCTCAAAAATTTATTTTTTTTACATTTATATCACCCAAAAATTTTTATCACATAAAAATTATCTTCATTTTAGCTTCTAATTAATTAAAAAGTGAAGTACACTTTTTCATGCATAGTTAAAATGATATTTTTGTAAAAAATAATAAATTTTAGGTGTTATATTTATAAATACATAGGAATTGTGAGCATTAGGTCTAAAAATAAATAAAATATTCGATTCGAACACCCCCACGTCCAGACGGCCAATCACCGGCGGCCACGTCATCGGTAGACGACATGGTCGCTGGTGGTTAGTCGTCAGGACATACGGACCTCCATATGAAATATTTTTTTATGATACGAGTACAAAACTCATGCATGGATATTTCACAAGCACCACGACACCAGCATGATTTCACATAAAATATTTGTAAATATTAATGTTTCGGGTGCTCCGCATGTAATTGTATGGCTTGGGATAATTTCAATATACTTTTATCATTTCCTAGGTGATAAGGTATGTTATGTAAATCACTATGCATTCCTACATATTTTTTTTTCTTATTTTTTTTAATTTTTTTTAAATGATTAAATACCACTCATTTCCTATGTATTTGCATATCTAACACCTACACTTCAATTTTTACGTATATATACCACATCACCTATACATGAAAAACGTGTATTTCACTTTTCTAAATTTATGATGTTTTTTTATTTGATGAAAAACTTGAGTGGTATAAATATAAAACAATAATATTTAGGAATATATTCTTAGTTGAAAGACAAAGCTATCAACCACGAGATCAAAATAACTCAAATCAATTTAAAACTTTAATGAATATTAAATTAAAAATATAATTGTTATTAAATTATTATTTAATATTTAAATTATGAGGACTTTTTTAATATAATATATAATAATAAAGATGTTAGGAAAAAAAAAAATCTTAAAAGTGATGAATACCTCTCAAATTATAACCATCATTTCTTATAGAAATATTAACATGAATGCTACTCAATTCTTATATATTTACATTTATAATACCTATACTTAGAATTGTACACAAACTCCACCTTAAATATGCATAAAAAGATGTATTTCACTTTTTTAAAGTTAAACTAATAATATTTTAATGGAATAAGAAAGAATTTTAGGTGTTAGATATGCAATTACATAAGAATTGAGGGAAATGTGTGTATATGACCCTTTTTCTTGGAAAAATTATTACCACACGTAGAGATGCATGCGGTGTCCGATATATACATGTATTTCAGTGGGTCTCACTTTTAACTTTTTTTTTTAAAAAAAATTTGATTGCAGTTATCGACAGACAACGTACAAAATAATTTTTTCCTTTTTTTTTTTTTTGGGAGAATTCATACATTCTATGAGTCGTATATATTTATATATCCAACTAAAATTTCATATTCACATAAATATCACTCAAATCTTTGACAATACGACAAAATTACATGCAACTTTTCATACATAAACCCTACTCAAAATCTAAACCTGAAACTACATGAAAAAATGCCATAAATTTATATATATATATATATATACCACCCAATTTCTATGTATTTTGCACATCTAACAGA